CCCCAAAACCCCAAAACCCCGTCATAGAAAATAGCCTTAATATGGATATGATTAGTTAATTATTAAATTTATTATGGAAAAAGAGTAAGAGTATATTTAGAATTCTCCCGAGAGGTCAGTCACAATCTCAAAACTGGAGTTAAAAGGCATGGTCAACAAAGTTGAAACAAACTTCAAAATTTAAGTAGATGACTGGGTACCAGATATTCCAGAAGCTAATGCAAGGATTAGTGAGTAACCATTAATTTAGTAGGAGTTACTCTAATCTTTGAAGTTTTCTCTAACACCATAGCTTATTTCAAGGAAACTTGATAGAAGAGAATTCAGAAGTCAAGGCATTAACATAAATGCAGAGGGAAACTAATATCTAGGAATTCACAATTAAGCATCTGGATCTGATAAAAATAAATTAGATATGTCATTGAGGTCTTCATCCCTTAAGAAGTAATTTGATTACAAGGGAATTATGGAAAACACCATTTAATAAGCCAATTACCTGTTTTAATAAGAAGGAGTTGGCAATCGAAGAAGTACACTTTCTAAACATGGAGGATCTCCCACTAGAAATAGAATTAGCGGTACTCCTGATATTTAGATATAAAAATCTCCCAATTTACTTTCTAAAAATATTGGAAATTTGGAGAGTGTATCATCTCTCGTCAGATTTAGTCCTAATTTAGCTGCAAGTAGAATTTTGGATGATAGAAGGAAAAGCAGATTAGTTATGATGCCAAACATAAAGAGCTTATATCATAGAAAGCAAGAAGGCCAGAGTCACGATGAGTTTATCAGAAGATTTTAAGATATTAATTCTCAAATCAAAGAGTAGACATAAATGCTGCAGCATTAGTTTAAGTCGAAGTAGTCTACTGAGAGAAACATAATAAATGAAGAGACTCCAAACGATAAATCAGGGAGAAATCAATCATGGAAATACCAAGAAATGATCTTTCCTCAATAGGAAATAACTGAAGAGATCACATCGCCGTTAGTAGAAAAAGTTTAGACTTAGATCAGAATTCTTGAAGAAATTAAGTAGGAAGGCGATAAGGATACCAAAATATTTTTCAATGAGCCCATTGTGATTAGCCCGAGTGCAGGCTAAAGGCAAGTCCAAAAGAATGACTCTAAAATAGAAAGATTCAGGCCTAGTGCAATTAACATGAATAAATTGAAAGAAGAAGTTAAGGAGGAAGAGGAAGATTTGACTTTGCAAATAAAACCAAGTGGAACTTTAAAGGTCAATGAAAATAAGAAAGATTTATTGGCAGTTGGTCATGCAAATGATTTTTTAGCGTTGCCAGGAAGAAAGACAAATAATATGCAGATCCACTCACCTATTAAACTAGGGCGATCTCTCTTAAAAATAGAACATATTAAGCCTCCAGAAGATATAAATGCTCAAAGATAGTCTAGCAATGAACTTATTTAAAAATACATGGAGTAGCAACTATCTAAAAGAGAAACAATTAATTAGCAGAACACTAAAACAAAAGCTGAAGAAGAAAAAAAATTATAAGAAAGTACATTTTCAAAGCAAAAGAAGGCTTAGAATTAGAATGATTCTGTAAGATCTATCAAAATTGAGAAAGCAATAGAGGAAGAGAAAAAAATAGCCTCAATTGTTAAGGACAATAAGAGACACGATGAGATAGATGACCTTACCAAGTCAAGGCATAAGAGTTTGAAAAAGAACGAATCAGATGAAGTTCTTAACAGAAATATCAATGACAACAGAAAAGTGCTTTCAAATCAATAGAAGAAGTTTGAAACCAGTAAAAATCTATCAATATATAAATCAGATTTGTAATCTCAAGCTAATATCAATAATCTCATTGACAAGGCTAAAAAGTTATCGATTAATAAAGGATTTTTAAGATCACCTTACTAGTCAGAAAGAAATGCCTAGAATGCCAGATTGACTCAGAAGCATTTTCAATCACCTATTAAAACCTCATAATATGATGTCAATATTGATGAAGATAAACCCAAAGAAGAGTCTTTCAGAGGTTATTTTACAATAAATAGGCGCAACAAAAAGGGTTCAGCAATCTATGCAAATAAACAAATTTTTGATGAGTTGCTTTTACAATTCTTGGTTTACATCTCTCTTGAAAAAGTGATTTCATTTTCAATTCCAAATGCGTTCTTGACGGATGCTGGGGCAACAATTCTCTTCTAATATCTGGAGGACTAGCACTCATTAAACTCGATAAAAGTGTATAATAATATTATGGCTTATATGAATGAGAAAAAGCATGATAAAGAACCATTACCTTTCCTACTATCAGGCACTCTTCATCTAGCGAAGACTCTGCTAAATAAGGTTCACTTGTAAACATTAGAGATTCATGGTTTCTTTCTGAGTTCAGAGCATCTTGAGGATATGTTTCAAAATTTGCAAACCTGCCATTAGCTGAGGAAACTCTCATTTTCTAATACTAACATATAAGACTTTGGAGTGTAATTTATAGCCTAGCTAATAAAGAATCCAAAGATAAAGTTGGAGCATTTAACCTTATATAACAACAATTTATGTGACGATGGGGCAATGATGCTAGCAGATGCATTCTAAGATCATGAGTACATCAAGGTCATTAATTTGCAGATGAACTTTATTAGAGATCTGGGTGCAAGCTATTTCGTGGACGGAATTAGAGAGAATTCTTATAAGAACATTTAGAAGATTATTTTGATGGAAAATCAATGCAGTGAAAGGATTAAAAGATTTGTGAAAAACAATGCACCTCTGGTAATGGTGTAAACGCCTTCTCTTAATTTAACTTTATAATCATATTTTTTCAAACTCTCTTAATCGATAAAATTGAAATTATACATTAAATTAAGTATTATTAAAATCATCATCTTTGTGAACCTGCAGAGGGTGCATTGTAACTGAAACCTATTCTTTTATGCTCTTCTTCTAGTACATATACGAATGTAACTTTATTAACTGTCTCTTCCTAAACTAACTCTGGATACCTCTTTTAAATAATTTCTAATCCATTATCAATACCAACAACTTAAAGAGCTATAATTATTGTTAAATCAAATGAGAATGTTGATACCTTGAATGAGATAAGCAATTGGGACAGTTTAAATACCAAGGACATCATAAGATTCGAAAATAGCCTCAAAATCTTCAGTCAGCAAGAAAGGTTCCTTCATCTCATAGATTTAGTTACTATGTGGGTCATCTGGTCTGACAACTTTTACGTTTTACAGGCATTATATAATGAATTGCTTTGCATTTTGTGGTCTGTGATGCAAAATATTTGTCAAGATTTCCTATAGAATTATTAAGCTTTGAAATCCATCATTATTATAGTTATGATTGTGTAAATATTCCTTACATTGAATAACTCTTGAATTCTGTTCTCAATTATATATTTTTAAATGTCATCGATCTTAGTTTTATGCTCTTGGCCAATGCTCAAAGTTGACAATAACTCTTATACGTTCATTTTCTTAAATTATAACTTATTTTATTTATGTTTCAATTCAAAATGCGATAATGCAAATTTAGGGGTTTTGGGGTTTTGGGGTTTTGGGGTTTTGGGG